GGTTTGGCGGCACCGGGCCCGGCCCGCGCCGCCCACCGGGCCCGCAGCATCCTCCGGAGACCGACACCTGCCGCGGGGGGAGGCCCCGGTGCCGCCCGCCGGAGGGTCGGGGCAGCGGCATCGCGGCACGGCCGGAGCGGGCCCGGCGGGGAGGGGGCTGCGGCGGGGGCACCCCCGAGTCCCCTGCCAGGGGGCTGAGGGGGGGTCCCGGTTCCTCACACCGGGCCAGGCCCCGGCTCGGAGGGAGGGGGATCCCGGATGCTTTGCCGGTGTCTGAGGGGAGATGCCAATTGCATCAGCCCGGGACAGGCCCGGCTCTGAGGGGGATCCCGGTTCCTCCGGCCCCGCCTGGAGGGATCCCCAGATCCCGGCACAGGCCGGGGGCTGCGCTTCGCTCCAGCTCCGAGCAGGTGTCGCGGTTTCTTCGCTGGAGTGTGCGGTGGGCTCCTGCTGCCTGAGCCGGGGCAGCCGCGGGCTGGGGTCCCTCGGAGCCCCCCGGAGCATCCCCCGCTGCTCCGCGTGAGGAGCGGCCGCGGGCGGGAGCTGCCGGGCTCGCCGTGGCCGGTGTTGTTCCCGTTACGCTCCGGTTGTCGTAGGTGCAAATTGCTGCACTTCCAAAGCCTCCCTTGGCTGGTGATGTCTCTGCAAAGCCCATCAGCAGAAATTCCCGGCATAACCAATGCGAGATGCCTTCCCTGGTCCAGATTCGGGGATGTCAGGGCTGTTCTGTTCTTGTCTCACCTGCTTGTGTCAGTGTTTTGTTTTTAACTGTTTCAAGAAAATTTACGAGCCTGTTTGCGGCGGAAGCTTTGCAAGAACAACAGAACAGCACGGTTGGATTTGCAGGAAGAGGTTCCCTTTTATTCCTCTGTGTCAGGAGAGGGTAAATATTTGTTGTGAATTGGTGGTGCTGCTGGTTGGATGGAAAGGAAAGGCACCTGCCCGGGAAGGTGTGGGGCTGCAGCTCATGCTCACCTGGATGTTGGATGTTCCTGCTGGAGTTAGTTGGCACCAGAGTGAGGATGACTTGGAGGTGTTTGTAGTCACTGGAATCATCCTGTGTGGCTCGCTATCCCGGGATTTTGCCTTCAGTGGTCAGTCCTTGCTGCCACTCCAGAGCTGGGTGTTCCTGAGGGACTTCTTGCAATCTGCAATTACAGGTTGTCCTTCAATTAACTCACACGTTGAGCTCTCACCTTCTGCAGGAGGAGTCAGAATCCAGATTCATTTCTCCTGAATCCCATTTAATTTTCTCCCAAATCCAATCACTGCCAACCCATGTTTTGCTCTTGGAAACCCATCACACTTTCAAGAACTGGGTTTTGAGGAAAGAACCCAAGATGAATAACTTTTCTGAGCATTCTGGGTACTGAAGTGATGGAAACACTGACCAGAGAGCTGAGTAAAATGTCTCCTTTGTAGACTTTTTCTTTCAAATTCCATGATTTCATCGGGGTTTAAAATGCAGCATAAAAGCAAAAAGGGGTTAAGCACAACTTTGCTGTTTGCTCTCATTTTCATTTGGCAAGCAGCACGTTGCTGTCAGTTTGAAAACGCCTTACTCAGTTGGTGGAAGCAGCCCAAAATTTCTGTTGCCTTTTCATTATTAGTAATTGTCTTTTTGCAATGTTTACCATCTTGTCTGCTTTATTGTTGGTTACTGCTCAGAGCAGAGTCAGAAATTCTGAATTTCCTTTCTGCTGTGGTCATCTTCCACCTATTTACAGTATTGAATCCGTGTGAGATTTTTAAATTCTGACCCACCCCCTCCTTTACTCCCCTCACCAAAAAAAAAAACAACCCAAAAATCATTTGAGAAAGAAGAAACTTTGTTTTGCAGAGGGTTTCCCAGTGGCGTGGAGCTGCTTTGCAGCTGGCACGGCGGATTTTTGGCATTTCAGCTCTCTGGGAGGCGCAGACCTTGCGCGCAGCGGAGGTGGGTGGTCGATGGAAGCTCTGGAGCTGCTTAATTGTCTTGTGAGTGGGACCTTGGTGTTCATAATCCAGAGCTTTCTGCCAGTCCCATAGTAACAAAGTGGGTGAGGACAGGAGAGGGGGAGTTATTATTTTTTTTTTCTCCCTGACATTGACTCCTGTTTTTTGTTTGTGGCTCTCCTCCTTCCCTTTTTTTCCTTTTTTCTGTAAGGTTTGGAATTTCAGGACTGCGCTGATTTCTGGGCTTGTTTACCAGGGCTTGTCTCAATTTCTCAGCCCAGGGATGCTTTGATGCAGCTATTTACTCATCCAAAGTTGTTGCTGCCCTTTCAAATTGTAATTAACCAAAAAATTAACGTGCAGATACTGCTGAGCCCTTCAATATGTGACTTTTGAAATGCTAAAAAATGTAAGATTTTTAAAGACAATTTGTGACTTGCATTTTAAGGATTGTTCTCGTTGGAGATTTTCTCAAGTTTCCAGGATTGCTTTTTTTATTTTAATATTCACTTAAAGTTACTCAATTTTGAGGGCTTTCAGCCAGAACTGTGTTTGAGCTCCCTCTGATGGGCCTTGCAGTCTTACCTTGGAAAAAAAAGACCCCCCCAAACTCCAAAAGCTGCCAGTGGGTGCTGCCTCCCAGCCCCACCTGTTCTGGAACAAACCCAGGGAATTAAACCCAGGTTAGTGGTGATGTTTGGAGACACTGTGCAAAATTTCATCACCCTTTGCTTGTGTATTTTTAGGTGTTATCCAAAGTTCTGAGTGGCTTTTGTTGAATTCCTGAAAACCATGTGAAGTGAAAAGTTCGTGTTTATATTTTAATTTCAATACAAAATCCTGTTGTAGTTTAATTTTGTCAAGTGGAATATGTTGTAATAGCACAGATTCGATTTTTATTTGAAATAAAAATGAAGTAAAACCCCACAGTTTGTGATGGAGTGTGTGTAAAACCCACACACATCCCCCTGCTACAAAATTTGTACTCAAAAATGAGGCACTCAGTGGTTTTCTGGTTCCTGTAGAAGAGATCAAAATGTCTCTTTGTACATCCCCAGCTCAGCGTTGAATGTAGATAATATGCAAAACAGTATTTAAAAGCTTAGTTAAATCAGGAATGCTAATCTGCTTTTAAAAATGAGAAGCACTAATGATGATGATGATACAGAGCTGCAGTGGTTCCTGATGTCTTTAGCAGGTTTTTATTAAATAATGTGATACAAAAGAAATTCCTGGTGACATAAGAGTGGTTTTGAATGTCTGAGAGATATTAAAGAAATGCATCAAAATCAGGACTGAGCCTTCCTAGCACAGAGATTGATGCTTCCACCTGGCAGCTCAGCTTAAAAGTGAGTTTCTCTCAAACACAAATGTGAATTTTTCAAGCTCTAGGGGTGTTTTTTTCTCCATTAACTTTCCCATAGTTTTCACCCTGAGTTTGCACATTTCCAGACCAAGACATGAGTGCTTTGTGCTTCATCCGTGCTCACCACTGCTGAATTTCCTTCTCTGGTGAGTCCCAGGATCACTGAGGTTGGAGAGCCCTCCCAGCCCAGCCTGTGGCACATCCCCAGCTTGTCCCCACCCAGTGCCACCTGCACCCTGGGGACTCCCACCCCTCCTGTACCTGAGCACCCTTTCCTTGCAGGAATTCCTGCTGGGGTCCAGCCTGGAAAGCTTGAGGCTGCTCCTCTTGTCCTGGGAACTTTGTGGCCCTCGTGGAGCAGGACCCCAAGCAGAGCAGGAGTTCAGAGCCCCCAGAGGTGCTCCAGGTGCCACCACCTCGGGCTGAGCCAGCAGTGCCCTTCATTCTTTGAAAGAATGTTTGTAAATCAGCAGGGTGAGAGGCAGAGGGGACCTGCCAGGGCACAAAGAATCTCTGTTCTTGTGCAACCCTTGGCTTTCCTCTGCCTGCCTGAGCTGTCCAAGGTAAACACAGAGCTCTGCTGTGCCATCCTGGGAAACTGCACTGAGCAGGGCAAGGTTTCTTCTGGCAAACCCAGGCAGCTTTTGTTAGATTTTTTTTGAATTTATTTTTTTTTTAAGGAGACAATGACTTTTTTACTGATTGTCCCATCACTCCCACACAGCACAGCTGCTGTTGGACAAAGTCTTTCTGTGTGCAGTGGCCAAATCCCTCGGTGTTAATGATGTAGCAAAGCTGGGAAGGCTCTGGGAGCACGTGAGGCTGAATTGTACAACTGCTGCATTTTGGGTGTTTGGTTGTAATTCTCAGGGTGAACATGTGGGACTCAGCTCTGGCTGCTGCTTGGGTTTTATTTAGCATCAGCACTGGGTGGTAATTTGCATTTATAGAAGGTGCTCATTTAGGAACAGAATTTGTTCTCAAGGTGAGGTACAGTCAGTTCTTCCAGTTCTTTGGGGTTGATTTGGGGTTTTCCCCTCAGAACAAGCTGCAGAGGGGAGCTGAGCCTGTGGTTACACTGAAAAGGGGGAGGTGTGGATACCGAATCTCTTGGTTTACCAGTCAGAAATTGAAATTTGTCGTGCAGTCTTTGAGTTCCAGCTGTGACTGTAGAAGTGCCAGAGGTGCCAAAGGCCTCGGGGACAGGAGGGGCTGGTGCTGAGTTAATCTGAGTTCTGTGCTGGCCAGGGCTGAAGCAGGATCTCTGCATGGGCAAAACACCACCCCACAAAGCACAGCCACAGCAATTGTGCCTCCAAGTGATTTTTAGGAGTATTTGGTATTGAAAAATGATTTTAGTAGCAGTGTGGCCTGGGGTGAACTATCTTCAGGTGAGGTGGAACGGAAAAGGAGCTGTTCCTCCCAGCACAGAGGAAAAGGAGGGGAAACCCCAGGGCCTGGAAAGCCCAGAGTGTGGTTGTGGTTGTGTGAGGACGTGGGCTTGGGAACCATTTTTACCTGTTCTTGGGTTTCTCCATCAG